GGTTGCGCTACTGTAGTTATCGTGGGCGGTGGTATGAACACAAAACGTATGTCGGAGTCTACGGGTGTAGAACGTGCCGAACGTGATTAAACATTTTTTTACCGATAAACATGGTTTTGTAGGTACTTCAAGTAATACGACTGACTGAACAGTAAAAATACCTATTATAAAAATTGTAGAAGAGACTTTTTCTAGAATTATATAAGAAGCTCGATTGTTGATATCGTATTCCAATCGTCCAATATTTGATGCTGAATCAACAAATTTTTTAAACTATTATTTATTTAACTAATTAATATAAATACGTATTAATTGTCCTCTACAATTTTTATAATAGGTATTTTTACTGTAAACTCCTTCAATAAATCGTATTACTTGAAGTACGAAACCATGTTTTTATGCCATATTTTTTTTTACTATTGCACCCTCTTAATAACACATAGAAATGTTTCATAAAATAATATTATAATGTATTTTTGATTTATTTTTGGCAAAAATTAGCTTAACCTAATTGTCTAAAAGTTAAAAAAAACTAAAATAAATTAGCAAATGCTGCCAAAATACTATCCAATAGAATATTATTGTGTTTATGTATGAGTGTTTAAAAAAAAAGTTATGTTTTGCTCTGTGTGAATTCTACGTTTTCTTTGGAAATATAGTTATCTGTTTTTTACATTGTTTAATTCGCTAAGTTCATGAAAAGTGCTTGTCGTTGTTGAGTCAGTCCACTCAATTTTTTCCCTTGTCGTTACCGCCCACCGGGTGCCAACGTAATTTTGTCTCCGGCTCTCCGGAGGTCCCTTCATTAATAATTACCCTCATAAAGTTAGCAGCACAACCATAACAGACACTTATGAAATACATCCAAAAAATGTATCGGTAACTTGTAGTTGGACATTGCCGGGTTACTCTTAGACTTTGTTGTTAATTATCTAAATTTCGCTGAGTGTAAATTGTTCTGCCTATACAAGATGTTCAGGGCGCTGTGCTATTATCTATAAGTGTTCAGTTTATCGGGAGTTTGTTATTTGCACCAAAATAATGATACTATGTAATTTACACCATTATAGGTAGTCGAAAATAATGTTTGCAATTTACGCCAAAATTAGTATGTCTATATGTAGGTATTTGATAATCATTTATCAAATATTCGATAATTTCTTCGGTATATCCTCATTGACGTCGGCACTCGAAGGACTTAAATTACTGATAATTTTTCTATTTATTATTTCAAAGGATTATTTATTAGGTTTTCTAATTACCCATCATGGCTTTTCTGGTAATCAGTACAAAATTTGACGTCCCATCCGTCGTAATTGCGTTATTACTCAGTATGACATATTTTATTAATTTTTGAAAAATATAATACATTTATCATACAGTCGAACGAGGTTAACTCGAAATCATCGATACCCCGAACTTTTTCAGTGATCCCAAGAATTTTCTATAATTTTATTATCCTTAGATAATTCGAACTTTCGGGCTGGTCCCTTCAACTTCAAGTTAACAATTTTTGACAGTTTTATTATTTATTATATTATATTATTTCTTTTTCATACCTAATATAATATATTATTATTATTATTATTGTTATTAGGTTTAGCTATAAAGTACCTAAATATCTATTGACGTACCTCCCGTAGAATAGTGTGGGCATGAATTATAGGTTAATACGGAAATAAGAAAAAAAAATGGGATATTCTGTGACTCTTTGGAAGGTTCTTTGGAAGTCATTACTATTGGCTTCTCGTAATTTCATATCTCAATATCTTTAACTTTACTCACGGACTTAGATATGCTTAGTAGGTATATCTTAGTCCGTGACTTTACTATTGAAACTCACGTAGGTATACTATCAAAAGAATAATCTATTTGAAGTTTGGTGAAAATTACAATTTATATTTTTTACTACCTGAGATGTTGCAAATTTCACATGACTTATATATTTTGAGTCAATTTTGGTGCATAATCTATGGTAGATGTGGTTACATCTAATGTTTCTTACAATCTTGGATTCATCTAATATCCAGCTCATTTATTTATATATCTTTATTTGTATAGTAAATATATAATTTATTTTAAAACACTTTTCACTCTCATTCAAAAGTAACACTGGTATTTTAACGAACTTTTTACAGTCACGCTTTTGTTTACCAGAAATGATACAACAATGGTTATTAAATAACAAAAATAAAGTAGGTTATTAAAACGCATTACAATTCGAAATTTTAAATACTATTTAAACTTTTTAATTATTTTATATTGCCTATGATAAATATGGTAAATATCATTAGTTGTACAATGCCTGGAAACAATTTATGTCGGTATATTGGGAAGATTATTATACATAATTTTAATGAACATGCACTGAACTAAAGTATAGACTAAAAAAAATTTAAATATAATAAATAATTTTCAAAAATTAACAATAATATTATTTTATTTTATATCACTATTTTAAACAACATAATATTATGTTAATAGTATTTTTAAAAGATTAGGTACCTACCACCTACATTCATTGATTATTTATTTGATAATTATTTGGATTATTTGACATATTGATTATTCGAAATATTTTTATTTTTTTGTTTTATAATTTTTTAAATATTGTATGTGTATAAGTATTGTATAAGTAAAACTTGTAAAATCGACTTCTAATAGTAATTATTATTATTAATATTCACATTTTGCCTATCGTCAAAATATTATTAGGAAATGTAATATTTTATTTTGGGGATATATTATAATATTATATAATATAAAAAAATTATTATTATTATTATTTTTTTTTTATTGATCTTAAGCTTCGGTAACTATGGCCATTAGCTGTAGTGGTTTTATTTGTGGGTTGTTAATGTCGGTAGGGGGAGGAACACGTGTGTGTTGGGTTTGGCAGAATTTTTGATTGGGCACCCGTAGGTATCTGCCATGTCCGGGTGGGGGATGGCGGCACTTGTTCTCCGGACACCGTGACTTGCCCGGAGAAAAATGCCGCCCAGTGGCCGAGAGAATCGAACCCGCGACTGCCAGCGCCGCAGCCGACGCGTTAGATCTCTCGGCCACCTCGTCCCCCAAAATTATTATTATTAATGTCTGAAAATTATAATATAAATATTAAGCAATAAGTTAAATTGTATTCAATACCTACCTACATATTTAAACTTTGAACATAGATTTTAATAGTTTTTAATTTTTTCAATGATATAAAATATGTATACTGCATAGTGTATACCTATGCTATAAGTAGGTAACTATTTGGAATAAAATATTAATAATGTGATATTTACACTAATTATAGCATTTAAAAAATATTTGCTCAATAATTTTCAAGTGTTTGTAAGTAATATAATATAGTATACTATTATTGTGAACAATTAAATTTGAGTAAATAAATATATTTTTTTATACTTTTATGCGAATAGATATGGGATAGTGGGCGCATCGCCACCAGGGGTTAATTTTCATGTAATATGAGGTGGGGGCTACAGCCCCCCAATCATTTTATCCCTTGTTGCGCTACTGGTACTCACTGTTCACGCTATTCTAGTAAACTCATATCCTTTATAAGTAATCATCACATAGAACACAAAATCAGCTATTCAACAAATATTTTAATAATAATGTAGCTTTTCGCCTACTCCCTTCTTGTTGTTCTAATTATCGGTGATGTTTAATAGTATAAAATAAAATTCAATTTGTTGACCGACTCAAAATGTAACCGAGTTGGCGCCCCATCAATGTTACATACCGTGTGGTTAAAAATTCTTTGGAAATGAAAACTAAAGTTAGTTGATAGAAAATAATATTTAATTTAAAACGTTAATAAAAACATTATAGGTATACTCTGTTATACGTATACTAGATGCACGCCGACACGCCGTATGGTAAATGGACATTTAGGCTTATATAATATAAATATATAAATCAAAGTTTGTCATATTATTATTAATAACAAATAACGCGAGTTATTACATTATTTGGTTATTTTTCCATAAATTATTATGTTATTAATTACCTTCCTAGTAAATATTATTTATTATAATAGAAATATAGAATACTTAGCTAGTTATTTATCAAGATACTACCAACAAACAATTTTTTATTATTATATCATTGTGACCAAAATATTTTGCATCATGGCCCGATGGCCGTAATAAAGTTATATTTTACAAGTTATTATGAAATATGAATTGCTATAATATTTTATTTTATTAACAGTTAGTGGGTGTTTACATGACTATATAATGTTATAATATACTTATATACATATCATAAAAATAAAAATGTTTTAATCAAATTGGTTTGGCGAAAAAACGTAGTCGGTTATACATTATGAACTGTTAATAATAATATATTTTTTTTCCAAACAAATGTAGGAAGGTATTTATTATTTATTTTATTTATTTGATAAATGTTAATAATACAAAAACAATTCATATTTTTAATTAATGTTATTTTTTATTTTTTACACATTAAGCTTATATTATTTAAAAAAAAAAAGTAACTTGCCTATCTCTGAATTAGTAGTATACCTACCACTGACTTAAATTAGTTTCTTTATTCTTATGATACTTCAAGCACACGGTATACACAGCAGCTGCCCTGTCCTTCCACAATGGCACAATCTGCACCGCGCTCGCGGTTGATAACGTGAAAGAGGATATGCGCATTACGGGTCGAGTTGTCGTCACTGCTGGCGCATTTTATATATCCGGAGAAGCTTCAAAAATAAAACGTAGAGTTTAAACACGCGCGCGCGCTCACGTCTCTGTTCTAAAAATGCATTAGTCTTGGCTCACGTCGGTTGAGTGTTGACCATCATTATTAACGTCGGGAAATTATTAACGAGAAATAATAAGGCACATAACATTTAAAATAAATAACGGCCAAAACTCATATTAAATCGTTATTTTATTATACCTCCGGTTTAATTTTTTTCACTGGCGTAATTACTTATTCAATTTTTTGTGACAACGCGAAATTATTTAGACATTTAAATGGCTCAGCTAATAAATTTGAAATTATCCAGGCACGACCAATCGTCTCCGTGGGGATTTAGATTACAAGGAGGCAAAGATTTTGGGACACCATTGCTCATACAAAAGGTAAGATTTAAACGATTCTTTATTGTACCTAATTGGTAATTTATTATAAATTTAGCGAATAGTGTTGTAGTGGTTAGATAATATAGTAATAGATAATAATAGACAACAGTTGTCTATTAAAATGTAAAAGTTCTCTGTAAGACGATTGTATTGATTATTAATTTTGTAAATAATTTTTAACTATACATCATAAATTAATAGGTACCTATATGGTAAGAAGGTAGATGATAAATTTGAGAAAAAGTATATTATATTATTTATAATAGTGCCAGTATCACATTTACATATTAAAAGTTTAATTTTGATATGCTTTTAGAACTTTTAAATTAATATTATGTATCAACATCGGTACATTTACTATCATATTCAATCAGATCAATATTAAAAAATTCAAATATTCATTTTCGTAAATAATATAATCTAAATTATAATTTATAGTTTCAACATTTCTAAATATTGACATGCCTAAATCAAAATGTTATCATGGCAATTAAATTATGTTATTTAGTTAATAGTTTACAACTTACAGTATTTAAAAATAATAATAATAATTCCATAACTAATTTATTAATGTAAATTTTGATTGAAATTAACACGGGAGGATTGAAAAATTAAAAAAAACCAAATTCTAGAAAATATATATTTTAATAAATTTTTAATTTATATTTTATAGAAATGGTATGAGCTAAAACATGGAACAAATGTAAATAGGCGAAGTGAACGATTATTAAATTATGAATAAACTTAAGAAATCTATTTTTATTTATTTCATTTTAGTAAAGTAATTATATTTGTTAACATATTACAGAGATATATTTTAGCTCAACTTAAATAAAATTGACCTTTAAATTGTTTTTCTATATTATAGGTGCCTACTATATTAGTTATTACGTCTCATTAGTGATTATAGTAATATTTGTATACAGCTACATTCCATTAGTTTCGTAAATAATTACTCGAATATGTTTGTTTTTATATTTCGATAAATTAATTATTATTTCAGTGATTTAATTTCCACGTACATGTGCTTGTCTACTGTTCTTCAACAGAAATTCCATTCAATAAAACTCGAAACATTGAGAGTATTGAAACCATTCCATTAGTATAAGTTACCATACGAGTATAGAGTCTTTTCTATTTATGTAGCTGTGAGTATTGGCCTTCTGTAATTTGGGCAATGTTCCCACTGTCACAAGTTGTTCGATTGTTATAATCGCCAATCACGAAATCAATTCGTAATCAACCCAATTTAGCAATTAATACCGATCATTATATTCAAATTATGTATTTTCGGCCGAAGTACCTCGACTGGATGGTTTCTTCCCTCAAGACACTGAAGCCATTACACATAATTTAAAAAAAAACCATACACTTTGCTTATTGTACTTTATTTTAGTATAGATTGTATAATTGTCTAGAAAAAAAAAAATGTATTTTTGGTCGTTTTCCATTGCAAAATTGAGAGTAACTATATAAAGTTTATGGTCCAGAGGATTAGCACGGATAATTATCTTAGATGTGGTATATTGGTTTGGCAGTCAAGCAGAAACAAAATATCCGAAAAATCTATTATGTCCGTGATGACATTTGTGGCTCTAGTACATCACGATTCTCCCACGATTACAATGACCCCTGTAGGCTGTTAGGTATATTAGAATTAGATACATCCAACAATATTATGTTAAATATATATATATAAATTTGTATACGTAATTGTAATTCAAGATTGGGTCATAGCTCGTATAGTACGGCACTATACGGGTCATTATAGATAATTGAAAATAAATGCAAAGTAATTATTATAATTATATATTTCTTTTTTTATTTAGGATGTTTAGAATACAATCCACTTCAATATATAGCTATATATTCTGAATAAAAATTTTCAATTTTTTTACGGATCCCTGTAACTAACCTCTCTAAAATTTCCAAGATGTTTAGGCCCCAGGGGAATAAAAACTGTCTGCTTGCATTAATATTACGATTTAATAGAATGCCTGAAAACTGCAGCTGGAATAAGTGTAGGTAAATAAATTATTTCTAACATATGTATAACATATTATATGCACAGTATAATCACTATATACATATTATGATGAAATACACCATAAAAAGTGTATTATAGGTATAGGAAAATATTGAAAATCATTTTAGTAGGAATTCCGTAACACACATAATATTAAAAAAAATATTCTCAATATAATTAATGATTATTAATTTCGACTTTTGATAATATAGTAATAATTATTAAAATAATATAATAATATAGTTTAAATATATTAATATAGTTTAAAACGGCAAACCTAAAAAATAAGTTCCGTGTACATACATTGTAACAACACCTACATAATAACGATAATATAGTTTGAAGTTTTAACTAAAAATATTCGTAATTATGCATATTAGGTACATATTATCATCCGATGGATAGTTATGAATTTATGATGTTAGATATTTAAATGTTTTATTGTTTTATTAGTTTGGGATACGTTATAGGACGAACAATTATATTAATTCTATACCTATACCTATTTTAAACGGTATAAAGTTTATTAGAATATAATACGCAGGTACCTAACAACAACTATTTCAACCTAGTATGTTCGTTCACAAATGGCAAAACACTTGTTTAAACAACGACACTTGTATATTAGTATTATCATTATCATTATTACTACACATTAACATTGTTAACTTGTCGTGGACAATAAAAATTACTAATACGACCTTTATTCCTATGTGTTAAAAAATAATATATTAAATTACTTTGGTGAGTATTAATTTTGTAGTATAATACTCTCGTATATTTTAGGTTTTTAATAGTAAGTATAATTGCAGCGAAATTCTTTATACAGTTACAAGTAATAATACATATAATACATATAATATGTAATTTATATGATTAAAAATTTAACTAAATTTGGCAATTATTTTAAAAGTAAAGTAGGTAATTATAAATTTTCAAAAATAAAACTATGAGATGAAAAATTATTATTTGTTGAGAAAGCAAAAATACAATAAAAGGCTCCTGGCTCCTATATTTTTGTGAAATCTGGTAATTTTAATACTATCTAATGCCGTTTAACTGAAAACCAAAAAACAGGTCTTACAAGTGGCGATAAATTGTACCAATAAATGCGTGACACTCGCTATTATAACATATATTAGGTATATACTCTACTACAACTACATTGACAATCGTATTTGACCACTTAATTTTTTTAAACAAAAAAAAAATGTCCAGTATTTTAGTAAAAAAGAGTATTGGTAATATTAGAAAGTGTATAGGTAATAGGTATTTATGGTAAAGTTGATAATGTGAGATATATTAATTATTAATTGAGTTTACTGTAAGTACCTATTCATAGTGAATTAGTGAATTTTAATATATATTATGGTTACAATATTTATGAATTATGATGTATATTATATTAATATCGAGGACGACATTTGTCTAATGAATAATATGAAGAAGTTACCAGTCGATTTAATATATATACATAACAACGGTAATAATGGTGAGATTTAAAAATGCATTGTTTTAGAGTAAGTTGTAGATGTTTTCACTTTTTCAACCAAAATAATATGTGATCTACTCTTATATTAAAACGATCATCAGCAGTAATCCAAATAAATAATAAATAACTTACATAATATAATCTAACTTAAAATCATAAAATAGATATGTCTTACTCTCAAAATGCAATCATTGGTTAGGTACTTGGTTAGGTATTTAGTATTTACCCATTTATTATACACATTTTTGATTATATTTATATTTTATATATCAGGCTACTTGCAGAGGTTAGCAATATAGAGTACCTATAGACGATAAATTTGTCAATATTTTTCACTTATATATTAATTATTATTATTTGATTTATTAAAACTAAATTGAAAATCATACCAAGTTAAGTATTTGATTCATTATAATATAGGTACTAATGATTAACGAAATTTGAATGTAAATAGGATTATACTCGATTCAGTTCGTCAAACGTATATGAACATTTATACAAAATATGGTATTTGTACTTTGTAGACTTTTATATTATATTATGTAAGTCAGTAAATGACGTACTGACATCGATTTCGTCGAATGCCATGTAACATCCAAATATTTATAATATGTTTGCAAAATATAACTTCCGTTTGATGTCATTCTGTCACCTCTCGACCTTATATATGTTTTTAATTTGAGGATAGTTTGCTAAAAAAAAAAAATAATAATATTCGCTATCTGTTAGTTAATATCAGTGTTTTCGTTTTTATATATAAAGAATTAATACTTTTAATTTTTTGTATAAATATCCAGAATAAGTTGCAGTAGTATGATCATATAAAATAAATATTCAATAACTTACATTTATATTTTACAAAACTCACCAATGATAATTGAAACTAACCTATATGAAACTAATAACTATACAGATTGCACATGATGTATTATATACTAAGATTTAATTATAATATTAAGTTAATTTTAAATACTCCGGAAATATTTTTTTTGGGTTAATGATATTAAGAAAAACAATGCAGAACGGTTCGAATGTTCGGGAGCTATGCCAGAAAGTGAAGTGTGCACAAATTTCGTTTTGGCAAAATATTGGTCAAAGCAATTAACTTTACTAGATCACATTATATAATATGATTTGGCGACTGAATAGCCTCGAAACTTCCAACACGTCAGATAATGTGTTTAGCTCATCATATCATAAATTTATTATTTGTTTTTATAATTTACGAAACTCCAAAAAAAAATACTGTAAGCATCTGCTGCTATCATTCGTAGTGTACGAATAATGCTTTAACACCGTCTAGATAGTAGATTCTCGACATCTGCTCTGTCAAGTAAATATTATATAAATAAATTCAACAATAAAATGCATTTGGACATGGCTTAATAGTGACCAAGTAGATATAGTTATAAATAACGTTTGGAATAATAATTTAAACAAAAACTAAAAATGGGTGTACTTTTTTATAGACACAGCTTATAC